TTTATCAAAAAAAAAAATAAAATTGATGAATCCCATTTCATAGTAGCACTATTGCTTGGAAATGTTGTCTAGCGACTCTAGAAGGTATTTAATGCAAACTTTCAGCCCAACCACCATAATTTTTCCAGTATTTCTTGTTCATCTGTATCTGTATTAATCCATCCTCTGTTACTTTTGGTGTTTGTAATAAAGGGAAACTTGGGTTGCTTTATTGTAGTAAAGACAAGAAAGAGAAGTGCTATATAGGATAAAATTTCTCATACTTTATAGAGTTCTCTTTAATCATTACAAAGGATTCACATGAGAGGTGCTGTTAACATGATCATACATATTTCCTGTCCATGTTACCTTTATTCTTCTGGAGATTTACCACTTTTCTGATTTTGGTAACTCTCTAAAACATTTGAAGCCTCAGACTTGGAAAAACGATTCTTTCCATGATTTCTCTTATTATGTTTCTTTAATCTGTTACATCTATTAATGAAAATCTGAAACTTCTCAGCTGGATCATCACCATATAATCTCTTTATTTTCTTGAATGCTGCAGCACTAAGCTACTAAAGAAAATAGTACTGGAAATGGTATCATTGCACTGGCATTTATCTTCCTTGTACTAGAATTTTCTGACAATGACTTGAGGAGCAAACACATGCTTTATTTATTTTTTTTTTAATAATGTCTTTTGAAGAGTAATGCTAGCCTCTGATTGAACTGAGGTATTAATAGTGGTACAAAGCTTTCCCAAACAGCTCTGATCATTCATTTCCATCCAGACGTACAGCAGGCCTGCTTTTCCTGTCCCGGGCTTCTTCAGAGCAGAGTTTCAGAATGCTTATTACCAAAATGCACAAGTAAGTTCTGCCATTCAGATTATTTTTTTTTTTCTGAGCTTGCATGAGCTGTGAACTTTGAATTGTCATCTTACTATTCTGAAAATTCACTCTCTATCCTAACTTTTATATATTTGAAAAATAATTGAAATGTTGAATTCTTTTTCATGGAAAAATATAAATAAACTAATGTTCTCTTTAAAATATCAGCTCACGATTTCCAAAGTCTTATTAAAGACTTTAGTCATTGACTCATTGCCTCAGACTTTGAAGTTTATGTTGTGACCTAGTATGTTGATAGTCTTTATTAAGTCTGAACTTGCTTAGTCATTCCTTATGTGAGGGGATTGCAAACTTTGTTGTGCTTGAGGACCACATGAGGCACATACAGAAATGCATTGCGGTTCTGATCCATGGACCTGAATCAACTCCAGGAGGGTCATAAGCAGGGATTTCAACAGAGCCCACTAAAATTTGGAACTACTGCTTTAAAAGTTCAAAGATTATTTCTTCCTTTTATGGAGTGGGCTCTTTGCTTTGAAGCCCACTGTGTTTTTCCCTTTATTCTTCCCTTCTTTTTTCTTTTCCTTCTCAAATTGAATTCTGTCTCAACAAGGACATAATCAAGAACATTACTTTAGGTAACCATGTACCCACTACAATATGCTAATTTTATTGCAAGACGTTTTGTTTTTATTTAATACTCCTTGTCATTTAGGTGCTCAAGAAGTAAGTTTTGGTTGACTGATTATCAATTCTTTGATAAATAGGTGTTATTTGGTTATGTCCCATGAGAAAAATGTTAATGAAGGAAGGAAATAGTAGCCTTTATATAATTTTCAAGTATATTCTTACTTCTCTTTTAAATGTTTCAAATATCCAGAGCAATCTGCTTTTCTAACTGGTAGATTTGAGCGGCAGGACTAAGGTCTTAAAATAGCATATAGAGTATTCATGCTAGAGAATGGCCAATGTGTACAATTATAGTAATTGATAAAAAATTATTAGAACATAGCTGAAAGCCTCTGTGGATGCACTGTGGAGCTTTTAACACACACTTGGGCTTATATCAAATCAACTAGACAGAGGGAGAGTGGTTAAACCAAGATCTAAACCCACCCCAAGACAGGGCTGGGACAGGGCTAAAGAATTTGAATTTCCAGCAAGTTCTCAGGTGACACTGATGTCATTATTCTGGGGACCACACTGAGAACTTTGCTAGACAGAAGAGAGTAAAACAGCAAATGAGAAGGAGAGCATTAAAGTCATTGGTTTTCATATATTTTTTGGCTGTGGAATTCTGCTTGTCACCAACTTCTTAGTGAGTTCTTTGAAACTTTCACTTTAAAGTAATAAGTGACTATCTTAAGCAAGTCAATTCTTTGTTTATGGAATATATTCTTTTCTACATAAGTCCTGCAATGCAGCCTTCCCTCCCACTTCACACACAGAATAGCGCTCTTAGTAAACAAGGCCCTGGAATATAGGTTGGAAAGCCATAATAAGAAAATTGAGACTTGAGAAGGAACCACGTGCCCAGGTTATGTAGCCAGAAATTGCTAGAAAAATGTAGGTGCTTGTGTTTTGTACTATTGGTCTCCTCAGTTTGTATCTTCCCCCTTCACCTTATTTTTTTTTCAAGTTTCTATTATTCACACTTACAATAAATATTGATCTGTTTAATGACTATGCAGCTACTCAAACAAATCATAGCTGAATTTTGGAGTTTCTTTTTAGAAAACTGCCATTTTTAATCAAAAAACCTAAAGGAAAAAAAATCACTTAAAATTACATATGATATGTCATGGGGACCCTTCCTTTTTTTTTTTTGATTCTTTTAATTCTTTTATGAAGATCATCTTCATTCCCACATTCATTAACCCTGTTTTTGTAAAGAAATGTTCACCCACCTCCTTTTCCCCCTTGATTCCGAAGCCACCTTGGAAATATCCTTCCAGGTTATAGCAGTGAGCAGTGCCTCCATTCCATTCACTTTATTTTTGTGAAAGCACGAGGCTCCCATTCTTTCCGCTAAGCTCTTGTACTCATGTGAAAGATGAAAAGAGGAGAAATCAAGTAAGGGTTCTATACTTGCTACCACCGAAGAACCTGACTTGGCATTGCTGATCGAAGCTGTGTAACCTAGACTGAATGCAATTGTTTCAAGACAGGGATGCCTTCTGTGTCTAGAGTGTGTAGAAAATGTCATTAAGTATAGTCATCAAAACTGAAGTATTATAAATATAAATACATATGCTCCTATAGTAGAAAAGTAGAAAGTGATTTCATGTATTAGCCACATAAAGAAATCTAGGAATGTCATTTTATATACAATCAGCTCTCTTCACTGGAGAGTATCCCTTCACAAAATTATACTTAAATCATTGTTACTTTTAAACCCAGGAAGAGGTCTGCTCCTCAGACTTATGTTAGGAAAAGTCCAGGAATAAAGGTTAAAATACTGGCATCTAATCACACATGCAGCATTTATTAGCCCAACTGCTCAAACTTGTATCAGTACAACAAGAATAACAGGCCTTGTCTAGTCATTTCATAGGGTCTTCATAAAAACCAAGTGACATAATAAACACATACGCACTTTGAAATTCTGAAGCTCTAGATAAATGGGTAGTTATTAACTCTTTGAATTTCTAGCAAGTTGACTAACTAACATAATGACTTTTTTTTACTCCCCACAAACTTCGTTTTCCTTCATTCCTTCATTGCCACTCACATTCCTTAATGAAACTTTCAGACCCAAAGTTTAGAGGCTGATTTAGAACATACTTGAACACAGCTTTTGAAGTTCACAGACATGCTGGGTGTGTAGGTAATGTCTTGTATTGATTGGTATTAATTAAGGCAGAAACACCATGCAATGCTGTTCACCAAGGCAAGGAAATATACGTTGTGATTTAGAAGGTTTCCATTGAAATGTTCCAATATTGAAAGTAGTATCTTTTTTTTAAAAAAGTAGTTTTCCTATTCCTAATTAAAGCATGCTGAATGTATGACTTTTGATAATGACAGATAACAATGACTATGGCATTGCTATGTTGTGGGAGAAAGGCAGGAACTCAAAGTAGAAGGGGTGGTTTGTAAAATAGGCTATACTTTTATAATGTTAACATTATAGGGACTCTGTTGAAAGTAAAGCTAATCCATAATTTAGAAGGGCAGTACTTTGAATTTGAAAGAAATGTTGAATTTTCTCATGAAGTTACTATAAGTGAAGAAAAGATGCCTGCCACTATGAAAGAAAACAGCAATTTTCATAATGTTGAATCCTCTAATATCTTACCTATATTCTCTCAATTTATTTCATATGCTATTTTTTCCAAAGGCATTATGTGATCAATTTTAGTAGACTTGCTAATTTTAGAAAATTCTTGTTTTGTTCACTAGATTAAATATTATAATTTAGAACTGAGCATAATAAAAACTCGTTATAGAAAATGTTCCAATTCTAGAATGAGATGTAATTTAGAAACATACCTGCGATGTATATCACATATGAAGTGTTAAAAATATTTGTGATTCAAATTTCAGAAACAAGCAAGATGTCTGGGTGGGCATACGGACTGTATTTTCTGTTCTGTGGTACTTTAAATAGTTCCTTGGTGAGCTGAAACTCAGTTGTCTCCGAATGTGACGATAATGAAATTTTTAAATGATCTGACTAGAACTTGCAGCAAATAGTACAACTAAAACCATCTGTAAATTCCATTTATAACATGAAAAAAAGATTTTCAAGAACCATAAGTAATTAAAAATGAAATATCACAATCTGGATGAGGCCTTTGCTATTTATATTTACTTTATATGTATTTTGACACAGGCATATTTGACACATATGTATTTGCTGATATTCCTGAAGTATCTACATCTTATTGTAATATTTGAAAGACACATTCTTTATTTGAGTATTCTTTTATGCAATCACCTTAAATTAAAGATACTAACTTTATAATGTATTATAAATATAAATTATAAAGATACCAATTTATTAATAATCTTATAATTAACTAATAACCCATAAATTAACTTTATTTTGAAAGTTGTAAATATTTTTTAAATTTGAAAAAATATAACAACAGGGTGAGGAGTAATGCCCAGTGAGGTATTTCAGCTTCAAACACATTAAAATAACTCTGCCTTCCTTTGCCTAAGTTTCAGGCCCAAAGTTTACGTCTGTCAGACCTACACAGAAAATCCCATCTTTGGAGAGGAATTGTCAGCATCACATTGATTGAGGGGAGAGACCTGAAGGCCATGGATTCAAATGGGTTGAGTGACCCCTACGTGAAGTTCCGGCTTGGGCATCAGAAGTACAAGAGCAAGGTGACCAGATCTCTTTTGCATTCTTTGCAGCATTGGGGAGGCACTGGGTGGTTGGTAGTCATTCTTTGAAAGCTAAAAACACTTGGTAGTTTTAAAAATGCTCAACAGAACTTTTGAACATCATGTCAGAAAACAAAATCAATAAATGTATTGAATTTCTTACATGAAGTGCTATGTAACGTTCTCAGTGCATAACTTCTCTATGTCTTGATTTCTTCCTTTCAAACCAAGGATAATAGTGCAAGCTATCTCTTTAAAAAAGGGGGAGGGAGGAAGAGAAATGGGTCAAATCTGTGATGATGCATAAGGGATTCAAAGAGTGTTGGCTGTTCTTATTATTACAACTGCTACTAGTGCAGTACTACAAATAACATTACTTTATATGCCAAATGTCGTTGTGTTACTCTGAGCCATTTTATTCAAACTACTTACACCAATGCAGATTGCAAGGTTTTTAAAAATTTATTTAGAAAAAAAGGGCCAGATCCTTGCTGCCTTATCAGAAATGTGCCATAGGGCTATTCATTTATCCTCCCCATGTGCAATTTCCCTCATTTAAATAATGAGAATTAAGTTTAAACCTACATAACAAAGTTATTGAGGAGATTAAATGGGTGTATGTTATGCATATAAAGGGCTTGAAATACTTTGGTGTCCATAGTAAATATTCAATAAATAGTAGTAGCAGAAGGAAGAAGAGTAACAGCATTAATAATCAGTATACTGAAAAGTAACAAATAGTAGTTATAAAATATATTAATCACATTATTAACATATCAATATATTAATCATATCAGTAGAAGTACTGATAAATATTTTTTTTAAAGATTTATTTATTTATACAAGCACTGGGTACAGTCAGAAATTGCAGGAGGATGAGAGAATTCACCAGAGCCAGAGCAAGGAACAGAACAGGCAGACTGACAAAATACACCACTGAGGGGAGCAGCGGGTGCGGCAGGAGAGGTCTGCGAGCCATGTGGGACCCTCACCGGCAGGCGGGGATTGAATTGGTGCTGCAGAGGCTGCGGGCAGCTTTGCAGCCCAGTGCTCAAACGCTGCACCACCAGGGGAGGCCCGAGTACGATAAATATTAAAGGCCATAGTGGTCACAGATACTGGCTATTTGAGGAACAGACATGGCCTCTTTGATGGTCAGTTTTTACAGCTGGTTTTCATGGATAGCTTGGGACAAAGGATCCCATCTATCTTGTATTGAAAATCACATTCTACTTTGATGGAAATATCTTCATGTTAACATCATCCTTTTCATGGATCTTGGATAAACAGCCCAGGAAAGTTTTCACAGTACCTAAGGTTATCAGCAATATCACAAACCAATTCATTAGCAGGCAGTGAGAACTGCTGCTGGCTGATTGGTTACCCAATTGCATAACCCGTGGAAGGAGAAGGCATCCTTTCCCACCTGAATGAAGTCATATAGCAAGGACTGCCCTAAAAAACAAAATGGAAAAGTTAGTTTATAGCCAAATAAGAAAGACCACTCCCACAAAAATATTATAGGAGTTATTCAGAATTATGAGACATTTGAATTTTTATAGGCTACTTCCAGTGCCATCTTTATTTTTTGACCATACACAATAGCATATTTTAAGGAGACTAGTGATTCCAAAAATAGGTGCCTATGGCCATGTCTATCTTGTCCTTTATCAATTAGCATCATTCCCATGTTCTAGTAGGCTTGAAACATTACTTATTTTTATAGTCCTGCTCTTTAGGTTTGAAATATGAAACGCAGCTATGGACATGTGTCTCTCTTTGCTCTTTCTTTCCATGATCTATTGCTGATTAATTTCAGGTTATGAACTTTAAAAATTGTGATTCATTTGCATTACCTTTGCGCATAACATACTTCATTGCTTTCAAAGTCTTTACATCTGATGATACGTCTTTCATACATTTAAAAAGAGAAAAGGCCACAGGATGCCCTCCTACTGAAAAGAATAGAGAAACAAATATGAAATGTTAGATAAGCCAATGGTGAATGGAGTTTTCAAACAATAGGACTCACTTTACTCACTGATTTCATCAGTTGTCTCATCTAAATACTTGAAGTTATAATTTTGCACTTCAGATATCTTTCTCATATATGTGACATGAAGATTGTATATATAATATACACACATATTCATATTAATTCACAAAACCTCTTTGGCATATTGTTTTGGAGGGAAAGACATCTGAGTATCTAACCAAAGACATAAATTAAAGTCTAAATTCTAAAACGTAATGACCTTGGGTTGACCATTTAAACTCCAGGTCTTGATTCATCCATATAAAACTGGAGATGATACAGCAGTGCTAAAATTCCAAGGTAAGTTTGCCTGACCACCCCAAATTGTTTCTTCCACCTGCTCTTACAGAATGGCTTTTTTCATGTATTCACACCCAAATCCCATGTATGTGGTAGGAAAATAAAAAAAAGAATACTGAGAATTCTTAGATTTCTTTATTATGAGAGGAGAGACTACAAGTTACATCTTTAACAACCAGCATTAACTGGTTATTTAAAATAAATGCTAGTACCCGAGTGAACTATTTACATTCAGACTATTTGCCTTTTCAGTGTAATTCAAACTCTTCATCTGTTATTCAAGATGAGGAGGGGGTGCCTTTTGGTTTTCAGGACACATCACTTTGGGTCCTTTTAGACAATATGCAGTAAAGAAATTAGTGATCAGATGTCACCTTTCTACCATCTCTGGAAGCTTTTGTTCAAATCTATACTTACATGGTTTTCTATGAAGTACCCAAAGTTTGGCTTAGTATCTCAAGTTAATTTTTTAAATACTGATATTGACAAGATAATAATGACTTTTTGGTTTTCCAGATAATGCCAAAAACTTTGAATCCTCAGTGGAGAGAACAGTTTGATTTTCATCTCTATGAAGAAAGAGGTGGAATCATTGATATCACTGCATGGGACAAAGACGCTGGAAAAAGAGATGATTTTATTGGCAGGTTTGTGCAATTTGATATTTTTGGTTAGCTCTGGAGAAGGTGAATTTTGTTAAAAGAGTATTTGCTTTAAGTCTGATTATTGTCATTGATCTTAATCATAGTAGATGAACTGAAAGAGGTTTGAAGACTGACCAGTAGATGGCAGTTTTGGCCAGTTGATGGGCAGGCTATTCAAATTCGCTATCCAGAAACACTGTGTGTACAAGTTATGAAAGTTGAGAAAGAATAATCTCATTTGATATAAGATCCTTAAAGGAGATAATAGCATATCCATAGTCTGTAAAGAGATCTGAGATAGTATTTCTTTTCATGAAGTATATTGTGACTATAAAATGCATTATTTCCTACAACTCCCTACATGGTAGAGAATCTTTATAATCTAGAAGTTCATACATCTATAGCATTCTCAAATTTTAGTAAAGGGAGCATGTGAGTGAAACAGATGCTTGTTCATCAGATAATGCAGAGAATAAAGGATTATTTTGAGGTTTACATATTATCTCTTTACAAGATCAATGTTATTTTCAATGACTGGATTATAAGTATTGTCTTCTTATTTTAAAGGCTATTTTTATGTTTTTGAGCCATGTATGTCTTTGTAGCAAAGCACATTATAACCTGTCAGTACTGAACTAAAGTGTAGTATACAGAGGAATTTGTTGATTTAGAAAATTCTTTCTACATTGTAGTTCTCTGAACATACAATCTGAAGAAATGCATACATACTAATAGTAATGAGAATTTTACTCTCCGAAAGTAAGAACAGGAATCCAAGCCTGCACATTTGTAATTTCAGAATTTTTTGTTGCTGTTATTGTGATAAATATGGTTTTGAGTATTTTTATCCATAGGATTATAAACTGAGAGTTCAACGAACAGCTTCAGTTAACCTTTAATATTTACCTACTATCACAGAATAACTGTCAATTTGGTGACCACAAAAAAAGTCAAAATGACTGTCATGGGTGTGTTCTACCTTAATCTCATTGATTTATATTCAAACTTTCTTAAATTGTTAAATATACTAACTTCCTGTACTTCTAAGTCCATATTACAAAAGTCCTTATCCCTTTTTAATTTTTTTTCCATAATGACAGTTATCATTTTGTTGTATTTTTTTATTTCTTAAAATAATTTCCAAATTGGAAAATTATGAAAACATCTCAATCCATTTAGTACTGACCTCGACCTTTTCTTCACTTGACAATATGAATTCTTCAGGGTCATTTCCTAATTATATTACAGAAATCATTGGCAGAGAGTTGGATCTGTTTATCTTACTTAACCTTATTTCTATTTTTTAATCCTATTATTTTTATTGAGGTAATGTTGGTTCATATGAGTCAGAGGTGCAGGTTCACCTCTTTGCATGTATGTTACCACACCACATCTGACACCAAGGCATCCATAATCTAGTCCATGGGGCCCCCACCATCTCTGCTCCCACCTTCTCTACCTTCCCTTCAAGTAGCTTCAGTTCTGCAGTCAGATTTCAAGAGTTTGTTTTGATTGAGTTTTGTCCATTCTTTTGTCTGATTTCTCTATATTCCACATATGAGTGAAACCATCCAGTATTTCTTTCTCCTTCTGACTTATTTCACTTAGCATAGTCCCCTCCAGTTCCAACCATGTTGTCAAAATTTTATCTTTTTTTTAATAGTTGAGTAGTATTGCATTGTGTGTAGCACATCTTCATAATCCACTCATCTGTCATTGGGCATTAGGTTGTTTCCATAACTTGGCTGTGTAACTACTGCTGCAGTGAACATAAGAGTGCATGTATCTGTTCGAATTAGTGTTTCCACATTCTTCAGGTAGATACCTAGGAGTGAAATTGCTAGATCATATTATAGATCTATTTTTAATGTTTTGAGACACCTGTAGGGGTTGGACCAGTCTACATTACCCCCTAGTGGTGTACAAGGGTTCCTGTTTTCTCCACGTGTTTGCAAATAGTTTCTGGTCTTTTCTATAAGGGTCATTCTCACAGGTGTGAGGTGGTATCTCCCTCATTGTGGTTTTGATTTGCATTTCCCTGATGATATCACTTCATTTTATTTTTATGAGTTTGTTCATATTTGGGGAAATTTGGATTAAGAGGTGGATCTTAGGGATTGTTCTGGATACGTAGGGGAGTTAACAAAAGTTTTATAAAGATGGAAAAAGAGAATTAATCCATTTGTAGTCTCCCGGATTGAACACATAGAAGTGTTAGGATTATGGTACTTCCAGAGATGGTATGAAAGCTCTGAACTCCTTCCTTCATGTCTGTCCTGTGCATCTCTCCCACCTGGCTGTTCTGCATTATGTTCTTTTTTGATAACCTGGCAATATACCTGGAGCAGCAGCCACTCTCCTTATTTTTTCTAACTTTGAATTAGCTTACTACCTTGCATCCATAGAACCCCATTTAAAATCAAAACTCCCTTTCCTTGACATTTGCTTACCCTCATCCTGCTTTGATTTTCTCTACTGAAGTAACCACCATGTGGCATACTACGCATTTCACTTACTGATGTTACTTATTTCCCATCATTAGAATGTACACTTCGTGAGGCAGGAATTTTTTTCAATGTTTTATTCACGGTGGCATCCTTAAAGTCTAGAAAAGTATTTAGCATAGGATTGGTTCTCAATAAACATTTGTCATATTTGAATTTCAATACCTGAAACCTGACTTAACGCTGGAAATTATGGCTCTTCCTTCTCTAACTTAATACATAATTGGTACAAAGTATACACGCAAAGTGTATACCAAATATATCCTAATTTACAATTAATTTACAATTAGGATATTAGTGAGAGGTACAAATTTTAGTGTAACTAAGGAAAAATACTGCTGTATAGTTGAAAATTAAAAAAAAAATTAAATCAAAAGGGGAACACTAATGGCTTAAATTAGAAAAGTTTTTGAGTATGCTATACTTAAAAATACTTTGAAGTAAAAAAATACTGTATTTGGAAAAATACATTTACCAAGATAAACATTTACCAAGATACTTAACATCTTTTTTGTTATTGCGAAATAGGGATAGGAAATTTGGTTGGTAAATTTTACACAAAAATAAACTTACATGAATGGATAATAATAATGCCTTACAACATATTACATACATCGCTAGGGGATAATAAGAATGGTTACCAATTTTGTAGATGCAAAAAGTGAGGCTGAAGGAGGTTTGAGCTTGCCTAGCTTGAATGAACCTGAGGTGATTGATCTGTGACTCAAATCCAAGACTTTTCCTGACTGTAATGCCTGTACTCATTTCTTCTTGGTCTTGTATTTAGTGTGTTCTGAAGCCATTAAGTACTTAATACAATGCCAAGAATTCACTAATAACTTAGGTAGTGTACACTATACCGCAAGTTTAAACAACAAATTTACCTGTGGCTGAGCTACAGATTTCAAATGAAGGTGAAATAATGTTAATCTGCATGTAATTATTTAACTTTCTGATCACCTGCGTTTTGGCAGGCAAGACGGACTGCCACCTTTACGATAATCAGCTAATAAATCCTCATGATTGTTACACTTTTATGCAGAGCAGTAATCTGAACAAATTGGCTGCTGACAGCTGCTGTAAATTGCCAAGAATGAGTGCTGTCAGAGAACAAGTTGTTTTTATGAACGTGCAGAATAAGTAAATCCTGTGTCACGCAATTTTATTCAGTTGGAGTTATTTGCAATCCAATATAGCAAGATTTATTGCATTATTTATTAGTGTGCAAAATGCTTGTTTATCTTTAAAGTGGCATTGATTTGGGGTACATATATTTTACATTGGTGAATTGCTGCTGACTTTATTTGTTGTGTTCTTACCAGAGCTGAGGCATTGGTATTGCCTATGCCAACAAAGTGCTACAGATGTAAGCTTGAGTAGAAAGCAGACTCTACTATTTCAACAATGTTTTTATTAATGATACATGATTGAAAAACTTTTTCCAAATGGGTAAGTTCTGGGTGAAAAACAAATGCTTTCAAATTCTAAAGCCATAAAAATAAATCTGTAACTCTGTGTTTTATGCTAAGAGAGAGAAAATTTAGGAAGAGTGGGTTCACAAATATGTGTTCAGGCAAATGAGGAAAACAACTTTTGACTTTCAATATTAACCAAATGAGTGTTTCCTAAGGCTGAGGGTTAATGCATTTGAACATTCTATCGATTCTGATTTGTAATAGTTTTTATTTCTAATGCCAGTGCTGTAATGATTACTTCCTACATAAATAAGAGCAAGAGCAATCCTGCTGCATTATTAATTTGAAAGCACAAAGACAGCTAGTCAGAAAATTCTAAGCTGAAAAGATTTTTTTAATTAAGTCATTATATTTTACCATTTTTCTTAATAGGGATTGAGTGAAATATTTCATTAGGGAGAAAGATAGTACTTAAGTAATGAATGGTGTGTACCATTGATGCTTGTCTTGGTTTTTTATAAACCCAATCTAAGCCAAATATATTAATATTTTAATTCATTTTCTTTCATGGGTTATTGTTTTTGCTTCTGAAGATTTTCTCAGAAATCTTATTCTGACTGAACTATTTCTTATATGATGAGTAAATTTTCCAAAGATTATTTCTATCCACCACTGTCTATAAGTTAAATAGTTTACCTTGAGTCAATAAATGGGGAATTTTGCAAATTTGAAAAGTATGATAAAACAATTTCCCTAAAGACTGCATCACTAAAATCTAACAGTCACAACGTATGACAACAAAAGGCAATTCAATTTGGAATTTTATAATGTCAGAGATAGCATAAAAGCTTCTGCATAATTATGAAACTTGAAAACTCTTTAGTGGTTACATATTGCATTGTTTAAAATGCAAAGATTCCAAGGAATTATGTAATAGATTGACTTACAATAAAAATTTAAATATGTATTATTAGTTTTACTAATGTAAAATAATCCTTGTATGTTAAAAACCTCAAAGTTTTATAATTTTATTATTAAAATTAAAAATTATCCCCCCCAAAATAAAGAGGCTTGTTTCCTTATT